CTGCCTCCACTCAGCCCGTTGATTAATCGCGTTCTCTGCCTGTGTTTCAGGTTTGAGATGAGACAGGGAGAGGAGAAAGCAAGCAAGGGTGTTTTGATGAAGAAGAGTCTGAAAAACACAGCGCAGCGAGAGAATGGAGAAACTTAGTGCAGTAAATGGAGTTCAGGAACTCCATTATGAGTGTGATTACAGCTCTGTATGATAAAATGTCTCAGAATGGACCCAGCAGTGACAGGCAGCTCCTGTTCTTTTCTAACTTTGTGTAAAGTGTTGACGCCCCTAGACGCCCAGAACAAGCAGTTTGACTAACCCTAATGCCTGATGAAAACAAAACTGATGGAAGAAGAATTGAAATCATGTTTGATTCAGCAAAGAGTCACTTTGTACAGTGTTTGTCATCTGGTGTGTGCACACCCATACACACACATATCTCGGTACTTCTAGGTGCAAACGTCTAAATCTAATCCCTCAAACAGTCTGTGAAGAAGTGAGGACCAGAAAAGTCCAAAATATCTGCTTTTGAAAAAAAATCTCTTTACTTTACAAAATGTCCTCACCATTAAATTTGTCCTCACATTTCACAAAATGTCCCAATTTTTAAAGATATCTTAACATGCCAAAAACATTTAGTCAATTTCAAAACCAATTTCCACACAATATATTTACACTAACAAAGTCCATTGCCCTCATCACAGGGGGGTGCCTCTGTGTTCTTAACAATGTTACAGAAGTGCCATCATGGATGCCCAATTCTAAGGTGCCCTTCCAGTGGAGAAATAAATTGTGGTTATTATTTAAAATATTTTTATTGAGCCACAAGAAGCTATACATACAGTATATAATTGAGTCAGTGTCCATTTCATCCATATAAATAATAAATAATCAGCACATCAGGCCCGACTGACAGCAGAGGAATTGAAAGCAGCTTGGACAGGGCCAACAACCATAATCTGTTCTTCAACAGGTTTGACACAATGGCGCCTGCTCATCCTCCCCCTAATTCATCTATTGAGTCTCTAAAAGGTCCCTCTGCTGTGGATGACATCTTGCCTCGTTCCTGTGCCAAAGACACCCCGTCCCAGTGGCTCCAAGGACTACAGACCGGTGGCATTGATCTTACATATTATGAAGACCCTGGAGAGACTTGGTCAAAGTTCATGGTCAAACCTTGCTTGGACCCACTCCAGTTCACCCACTAGCCCTAACTGCGAGTTGAGGACGCCATCATCTTCCTGCTGAATTGCATCTACACCCACCTGGACAAGCCAGCGAGCACTGTGAGGGGCCGAAATGTTTTTTGACTTCGCCAGTGCTTTCAACAGCATCCGACCAGCTCTGCTGGGTGAGAAGCTGAGAGCAATTGAGGTGGATGCTCTTCTTGTGTCCTGGATTGTCAACTACCTGAATGACAAACCACAGTATGTGTGCCTGCAACACTGTATGTCAGACAGAGTAGTCAGCAACACCGGGGCCCTGCAGGGAACTGTCCTTTCTCTCTTCCTCTTCCCTCTACACCATGGATGTCAACTACCACAGGTTGAGCACAGGGCCATGGTGGGTAACTTTATCACATGGTGTGAGCAGAACCATCTGCAGCTCAACATGACAAAGACTAAGGAGCTGCTTGTTTCCATCCACAGGGTCAGTGTAGACACTGTGGACAATAAACTGGACTGGGCTAAAAACACACTAATCCCTCTACACAAAGGGCCAAAGTCGTCTCTATTTTCTGAGGAGACTGAGGTCCTTCAACATCTGTCAAACACTGCTGAGGATGTTTTATGAGTCTGTGGTAGCCAGTGCTATCCTGTTTGCTGTTGTCTGCTGGGGCAGCAGGTTGAGGATAGTGGATGCTAACAGTGACATTGTGGGGGTGGAGCTTTGACAGCAGTGTCTGAGAGGAGGATGCTGTCCAAGCTACGTGTCATCTTGGACAATGTCTCCCACCCACTCCACAATGAACTGGTCAAACACAGTAGGACTTTCAGTGCAAGACTCATGCCACTGAGAAGCACCACAGAGGGCCACAGGAAGTCATTCCTGCCTGTGGCTACCAAACTCTTCAACTCTCTCTCCTCAGAGTGTCAGACACTCAGTAAACTGGTAATGTTCTCTGGTTAATGTGTAATATTCTGGCTTATTCTGTCACTAATACTGCAGTCTTTTATTATTAACATTATCAGTACCCACTTATATTTATCGTTGGTCATATACTGTAGCATACACTTACTTCTATTTCTATATATTGTCATATATTGTGTTATAATGTACATACTTAGACTTTTATTATATTTTACTATTTTATATTTTTATTTTATATGTATATACATATACATTTCTATTCAACTATTATTTCTATTCTTTAATGTCATGTCAAGCTAAAGAGCAGCTTCAGCAACAGACTCATTAAACCACGCTGCTCTAAGGAACGATACAGAAAATCGTTCTTCCCCACTGTTATAAGGCTCTATAACTCATCTGCCTCTGTCAGAACCACAATTACAGAACTGGACTAAATATACCTGGGGAACATATACTTCATTATATACTATCATATGTGATATGTGTTAATATAAACCATGTTGATATTATATATCATATTTATACAATATATTATTATTATATTAATAATATTATATTGTTATTACTATTATTGTTATTATTATATGTTATATATTACAATTATTACTATTATTATTATTATATAACAATGTATAAGATATTATCTATTGTATGTATATCTTCTTGTATAGTCAAGTATCTATTATACATATGCTATATATCATATCATATCTTGTGTATATACATATGCGTAGGCTACATATTATATATATTGTGTATATATATTACAGTATGTATGTATGCACACCTTGCACAGGCTGAATATATGACACATGTTTACATTATATCAATATTAATGTATAATATCTATGTGTATACATGTATATCTGTTCAGTCATCATATTATATATACATATTAGTATTATATTATTATAAATATTATTAATATTATCATTATATATTGTTATTATTATATACTGTTATTAACAATAACACTACCATCATGTCATCAGTACTATTACCACCATCTTGCAACTAAAAGCTAAAAACTTTGCACCTTACCTACCTTTTTATCTTTTATCTTTTTTTATATTTTCTATCCAAGTATTTTATTCTATTGTTGTATTTTATTCTATTGTATTTTATTGTATTTTAATGTACCTGGCTGCTATAACGACCCAATTTCCCTTCGGGGCTTAATAAAGTCTATCTATCTATCTATCTATCTATCTATCTATCTATCTATCTATCTATCTATCTATGTGAGCAAATTGAGCAGCTATAACAAACAAATTTCCCCCCGGGGATCAATAAAGTTTTTCTGATTCTAATTCTAAAAGAAACAATGAATTTACCCTGTGAGTAACCATTATCTGTCTAGTCTCAGACTGATGTGGCTCTGAGCCATAGAACTGATAAGAAAAATATAGATTTTGTGATAACAGTACACAGGTGAAACAGAATTAGGTTCCTGGTTTGCAGCCAGTTCAATAGAAATGAGTGTGGCTGCTTTGTATATTAATCATATTTAATCAGTTCGTTTTGACTGTGGGCTAGCTTGAGCAAACATTATGAAAGAGTTTTCACTTTCCTCTCAGTATCAGTGTGGGTCATGGTGGTGCAGCTTTGCACAACAGCTTAGTTTTAAGATAAGTTTTACCATAACAACCTGAATGACAACATGATAAAACAAAATGCCACTTCGTCAAAATAGCTAAGGACCCTACTGGTGGTCTTGTGCATGCTTTTACCCATGCAGGTGACTACAAATCCTGTAAACTAAAGTTTTATTTCAAGCTATCCATTGATTTAATTTAATTGAAATAAACCTTTAGTCTTAAAACAGCAGCAAGATAGTCCATGATAACTAATTTAATTGTGTCTGATGTAAGCATGCTAATATTTGCTAATTAGCACTAAACACAAAGTGCAGCTAAGGCTAATGGAAATGTCATTAGTTTTGGAGATGAAGGGATCACTTCACACTTATTACAGTGCGTCCTCACAGAACATGAATGTTTGCACAAAATTTCACATGGACCAAAGTGGTGGACCAAGTGTAATGGAACAAGATATAACAGCCACAATGAATGAAAATGAAGGGCTACAGATCCTTGGATTTAAAGCTGCAGTAGGTTTTTTTTTATAAACCAAGGCTCATTGATGCACGTGGGGAGTGAAGGCTGGCTCATGTGGTCCGATCCAACAGACGAGCTACTGTAGCTCAAACTGCTGAAACAGTTAATGCTGGTTCTGATAGAAAGGTGTCAGAACACACAGTGCAGAGCAGTTTGTTGGTCTGGGGCTGCAGAACATTCTGACCACCAGGGTGCTCAGGAGGTCACAGTGTTATGGCTGAAAGTTGCCTACTTCAGCTTTAAAGGTTAATTATTGTGTTTATGTTACCTTAGAATGATATACCTACGATATGTGTTCCATGAGACCTGCCATGTTGAACCACCATGTTTCTACAGTAGCCCAGAAGAGACAAACCAAACACTGGCTCTAGCCACAGGACAGGGGCCAAAGAGCCGCAGGTTGCCTACTCCTATCCTACACACAGCCTATTCTCATTTCCAGGTCATCAAATACTGATGTGAACTGTGTTCAGTTAGTTCCATTTTGCAACTTCAGCTCGAGATGCCACTAAATCCTTTACACTGTGTAGTGTTTTTGGTAGTTTCCAGTTAGTCTGAATTGTGCATACTCATTCCAAATTACCAAACTCCTGAGGACACTTTTCTGACAGTTTTAGATCAATAATAATTACTTGGCTTTTTATTATTTTATTTCCTATCAGCTTTTTTATCTTTTTATCGCTCTTTTATCACCGCAGAGGAATTTGAGCCAGAGCTCCACCAGGACTTGTCCATATCTTTCTGATAACACACTCCGCCTGAAAACAAACAAATCAAAGTTCAAACAACAAATCCTGGATTCAAACTGAGTGAAAAGTAAAGTCTCCACCTCTATCAACAGCTTTGTTGAAACTGGACGACATTCAAAAAAAGATAAAGTTAGTGTGAGACAAAGCAGCCACAGCAGTTTCAGCTTAGCTTCACTACTATAAAAGGACCTTCAGCAGCAGCTGTGGAAACATTCGGTCCAGCAGAGAGTCAATCATGAGAAGTCTGGTGTTTCTCCTCTTTGTGGCTTTGGCCAACGCAAGAACCTACCAGCGCTGTGAATGGGCCCGAGTGCTGAAGAATAATGGGATGGACGGCTACCATGGCTACAGCCTGGCCAACTGTGAGTATCAGCTTCACAGCAAAATTTCTATGTCAATTTTCCATTTTTTATATGTGTAAATCAAGAAATTGGTTTGCATTCATTCTGGTGAAACATCAAGTCAGCATTTTGCTTTATAATGTTGATGTTGACCTTTCAGACAAAAGTTGTCTGCAGGTTTCGATGTCTGACATTGTTCTATCAGGTGGTCTATACGTGGCTCTGTTTCCTCTGCAGGGGTTTGTCTGACCCAGCATGAGTCGAACTATAACACCGGAGCCATCAACCACAACACTGATGGATCTACTGACTACGGCATCTTCCAGATCAACAGTCGCTGGTGGTGTAATAATGGCCTCACCCCTACGTCGAATGCATGCGGCATCCAGTGCAGCGGTCAGTGACAAACCACCACACCCAAAGCTTTAACTACACAAACTGTGGCGCAAGTTCTATTCACAAGTCCAGCTGTGTCCTGCTTTGAAGCTAAAATAGTCAATAGGAGTGTTTATAATATTAACAGTGATTAGAAATGACTCCATATAATTGCAGTTCTATTAATGTCCACTTTGTAAATCATCATTCAAATCCAAATTTGTATTTTTTCATAGAGCTTCTGACCAATGATGTCAGTGTGGCAATCAAATGTGCCAAACGCGTCGTTAGGGATCCCAACGGCATTGGAGCCTGGTAAGATCTAACCATGTGACTCAGATACAGACTGTAATCACTGCACATACCTTCACGTATGGAGAGATGAGTTATGTCCTTTTGTCTGGTTTCAGGGTGGCCTGGCGCCGTTACTGCCAGAACCGCGACCTGAGCTCCTATGTGGCAGGATGTGGTCTTTAATCAACACATGGAAGCAGGACAGTGTCATCAGCATAATAAAATTCTCCAATGTTCAGCTGCAGTGGATTAAAATGTTTCTGCTGTTTGTATGTCTGATGTATGTCTGATCTGACAGGAGTAAAACACAGTTACTAAAAGTGTAGATGAAATCAAGTGCCATCGTCAAATTCAAATCAAGTTAATTCAAAATGTTACTTTCTATGTCATCAGTTTATTCTTTACTAAAATATGTAGTCTGTGAAGAGAATTGAGCTGATTTCAACTTTTATTTGTTGTTATTGTGCTCATTTTAAAATGTTGATTTCCACTAATGACAGTTGTTAAATGAACATGAATGTTAAAACATTGAAGGGATCATTTGGCCCCAGAGGGTACAAGGGCAAGTTCCAGTCATTTCAGTCTTACTGCAATAATGATCACAGTAAGTAGCTGTAGTAGCCTTACTGTGCACATGAAAGATATGATTCCAAATATGACCTTATTTTTGACTTCAGTCAAAAATAAAGGAAAGTGCCAGTAATAGTGCAAATACATTTAACTGTACTATAATTGACTTTTCCTAAGTCCTGCCCCTTTTGGAACCTTGATCAACTTTCTCCTTTCATGTACTTATATGCTATGTGCTAGTTGAAAAGACAACCACATTTTGAAGATGGTTAAAAGATAAGAGCAACATTTAGTCAATATCATAAGTTGGCCAATGTAACCAAAACACTAGCTAACTAGCAGGCAAATATACACCAATCATTAGCCAACAACTAGCCAGTTAACTAGCCTGCTAACTAGATAGCTAATGATTGATCATTGATCAACTTCAAATCACATAATTTAAGCAAGAAAGTTTGGGGAATCTGACTTGAAACACTAGAACAAGCAAACCACACAGGTTAAGGATGAGACAACCAAAACGACTGTGCATGAGGCCCATAAAGCCCTTAGGTACATGCTTTGAAATGTAAACCATTAAGGGCTGCTGGGGTAGCTCACCTGGTAGAGCTGGTGTCCCATGTGCCAGGGCTAAATCCTTGCTGCAGCGGCCAGAGGTTTGACTCCAACCTGTGGCCCTTTGTTGCATGTCATCCCCTCTCTGCTGTCAACATTGATTAAAGACAATAAAAGCCCCCCTTAGAAAGAAATTGAAACCATTAAACTATAAATTGGCCATTGTTTAACAATTGTAGTCATTATAATTAAGGTAATTAAACTCTACCTACTGAGATTAGACAGAAGAAGAACATTTTTACCAATACCACTAGCAAGATCACGTGAGAATCCATCTTGCTATGCATTTGTGTCCAAACACAGTGGTTCGGACCAATCAGTGTACTTTGAGGAACTACTGGCAGCTACAGGTGTGGTTTAAAGTTAGGTGTGTGTGACGAAGAGTGTGAGAAGCAACTGTTTCCTCGAAAACAACAATGGCGGCTTCTAAAGAGGTTAGTGTAGATACTGCCAGCATCAGTTCTATCAGACCTGGAGAGGAGCAAATGGACAGATCACATGACACAATCTGGATTGGTAACAAAATCTCCTGTCAGTGAATAAATCTGAGTAAACATCTGGAGTATTAATTTAAAAATGCTCATCTGTAGAGTAGGAACACTGTATCTGTGAGGTTTACACTAGCAAATTTCTTCTGGCAAACTGGCTAGAATTGAAACACCATTTACCAGTAAATGATTTATACTATACTATAATAACATGGATGACATTTTGTTCTGACATGAATTTTATTCCATAGCAACTAACTGTCAACTAATTCCAACAGTCACATGATTGCTGAGATGTTTGTTTCTTAATATAAATGAGCAGCAGCTATTTCCTAAGCTAAATGTCACGTTAGCATTTTTGCTATTTTGAGACCAAACAAACCAGAAACCAAAAGTTTAATAATAATTTAAGAGGTCCATCATATGTAAAAATAACCAAAACAAATCATGATTACACACAGACACACCTCTCTCTCACACACACACACACACACACACACACACACACACACACACACACATTTGTGTACAATGGATTTTCTAAACCCTAACCCTATATTTAAGCTGCCCTAAATAATATTTGTACATGATCAATGGTTCCTCTAAGCTTTACAGAGTGTTTTAGTATCTTTCAGCTTACATTAGTGTTTTGGTTTGCTCTCAGGTGGCAAAAAATTTACATTTCGAAAAGGCCCATTTCATTAATTTCTCTTTGTATCCCACTCCACACTGCTCTGGCGCTCCTGAGGGTAGTAACATACAGAACGAGGTGAGATTTAGGTTCACAAGTAAAGTAGATCCTTGCTTGAACATGGTTGCTAAGTCACACCCACTTTTGTGCAATCAAATCAATTCCCTGAACTTCTTGTGAAATCTCTCACAACTACAGTAAACTCTCACATATTTAGTCGGAAATGTGTCACATTACAAAAGCTAAAGATGCACTGTCATTTCAATGGGACATAATAATAAACTTAATAAACTCTCCTACTCCTACTCATCATTAATCATTTCTCTATTTTGTAGTCAGCATACTGTGCATCACGGTCAAAAACCCAAACAGTTGAAAAAGTGAGCTTGAGAAACAGCAGGAGCTCGTGGGCGGCTCCTCGTTGCTGCTTTAACTCAAAGAACCCCTCCCTTTTAACCAAATATAAGTGACAATCAGTTCCTTCACGTACGTTCCTCTGACAGTAGTGTTCTTGTGTCTGAATGGGAACAAATCTCCGCAGCCAGGTTCCGAAAACTGGAAAGAAGCCTGAAACCAGAGGAGTGGAGGCTGTTTCTGCAGCAGATTAATTCCCATGCTTTTGGAATGACATGTTAATGGCTGCAATGTTTGAGTGTAGATCTGTAAGCTTTATCATGACCAACTAAAACATCATTACCAGCAGAGGCTTTATGTCTCCAGTTTAACCTCAGCTGATGCTTTCTGATGCAGAGCACGAACACAGCTGCTGTCACAGGATGGAAACAGGAATCCCTGGACAAGAGAGAGAGAGAGAGCGAGGGGGAGCATCTGGCAATGAAGCAGGAATTTAAATGTGTAGTTGCAGTGATCAGAAACTGGCATCATAGAGCCATTAGCAGATGCAAATTAGGGCAGAGCTGGCAGGCTGGTTTGTCTCACTCCGTCTTTAACACACACACAAACACAGTGCACACAAACATACAGTCACACATACAGAGTCCAACATCTGGACTGGGAACAGTTTTTGCCAAGAATCTGACAGAACAAACAACATCTTACCAGCAGGGGAGCTAAAAATGTAAAGTTTGTTCTGAAGGTTGCTCTTAAGGAGAGATTATGGACTCATTAAAGTCTGATCTTCATCTAATACGATCAGGAATGTCTGCGACGATCTGGACTGTAGATGTTGAGATGGCCAAAAACATGTGGACAGTATAACAACATATAATTGAATATGTTATTGTAAAACCACAGGCATTAATCTGCTCCTATTAGCAAGCAAAACAGATGTTAGAAAGTGCTTTGTCAGAAGAGAAGGTGGAAGAGACAGAAGACAACATGGGGTGCATTCTGGTGTTAAGTGAGTTGACCGTGCCCCCACCCGTCCTGCAGATGTTAGCAGTGTTGTCAGGGTTAAATAGGGCAAAATTCACCTACCAACACTTCTAAGCTCACCAATTAACATGATGTATTTCACTTTTTAACCCAGACTTCTGGGCTATAGCACAGGTTGTCAGAAATAGTCTGACACAGGTTTTAGTCTCTGTACATACTTGAAAGTACCAAACCTGGCAACCTCGTTGACAACAAGACTTCAGGTAGCAGTCTCGCGCAGTCACTGCATCCAGCTGTTATTTGCCAATTTTTTTTAATCCTACCTCACATTTATATTTCTGGCTGTATTTTAGTGAACTTCACTTCTGTGGTTGGGGTAGGTGCGTTTTTTTAACTTAGGACAGCACCAGGTCCTGACTATTATTCCTATATGCAAACACCGTAATCCACACGTATGACAACATTCGTGACTTGTACATTTAATTTGCAAGCGCAAAGTCAAAATTCGTGACTTGTAAATTGGTATTTGCACAAAGGTGTAATGATTTACTCAAATGTTTGGAAACTTGCAAATCAAATCATACCAACTTGTAAAAATATATCACGTTTCACGTGTGCATCTGTCATGAAATTTCATTTGCGACTCTTACGTTCCGTGTGAAGTGATGAATCTGCGTTTGCAGATCATCCAACACGCACATTCATCCCTGCTTCCGCTTACGTAATCTTGAGACATTGCTTTCTCCTTTTTCCAACCCGATCCATACGCGAGTCCACCTCGCCCCCCAAAAAATATTCCAGTAGGTGGCGGTGTTGTCCACTCCAATAATCACAAAGATCTGCTGTCGTGTAGTGTCATTTCTTCTTTGTCGTGAGCTGTAAACATATAAAGGACAGAGATACGTGGCTGACCAAGTCTCATCTGCTGATGGCGTACCTTCCAAAGGAAGTAAAATTGCGTGCAATTCCTCTAATTGTCAGTGAGTAAGAAAGCCAGCTAAAATCATCACTAATTACAAACGGAATTTAAGTTATTGGAGGTGTGGGCTCTTCTGGTTTTACGGTACACTTTAGTGTTTCGGGTCTTACGGGTTTCAAGCTAGCATGTAAACTTCAGATTGGTGCTAGCCTATTCCAAGCTTCAACATTTCGGGGATAATCATTCAGGAATAGTATATTAACGCGTAGCACAACACTACAAGGTGTGCTGGGGGTGCAAATTCCAGAATTAGTTGTAAATTAGTTTGTTTCTGTTCAGTTATCTGTGCTTGAATCATTTAGGAAATAGCATTTTCTAGGATTGCACTCCACTCGGTAGGCAATGCTCGCATGGCTTTGCTCTTCACACTAGAAGCTAATCCAACAGAGGCTTATCTGCTTTGCTAATACACTATTTGCTGTTTGCTAATTTCGTATGATCGTTATTATCATCATCATCATTATGATGTACAAAAGTGTAAGTAATACCTTTTCTTAATGAGCTACAGTAAGAAGAAGTTATGGGTATTATAATTTAATGGGAATGCAACTTTTTATTGC